ACACACACACACACACACACACACACACACACACACACACACACACACACACACACACACACACACTTTTTTATATCTTTGTGGAGCCCGTCCATTGACTTCCATTCATTTTTTGGTAATTTAATATCCTAACCCTGACCACCAACCCTAAGGCTAACCTCACAGGTACCTTCCTGATCCTAAAACTAACCTAAAATCATTCACACCTTGGTCCTAAACCCAACCCTCACACCCAAAATCAGCCTCTGAAGTTGTGGGGCCCAAACCCCACAAGGCTGCATTTTCCTTCAAACTGGGCCCCACAATGTAAAAAAAACAAGGACACACACACACACACACACAAATGTGCACGAAGCTCTCATCAATCAACGGTAATCAATACAGGAAAAGGACACTGTGGTGCAAAGATGCAGGCTTATGAAAAAACTAAGAGCCTGCAGGCTGCTGCGTCATGAAAGTAATAAAACCTGATGCTAAAAAGATCAGCGATTGTAGAGAAAGTTTAACTAGAGAAATTACATTTTCTGTAAAAAAAAAAAAAAAAACACAAATAAATAAAATGCAGAGTAAATGCTGAAGAACCTAAATCTGGATTAAAAGTGAAAAGAAGCAAGTTAAAAGCTAAAAGAAGAAAACCAGAGACAAAAATGAGAAAATGCTAAGTGAAGTTTGCAAAATGCTGGCTAAAATTAGATAATGCTAGTGGCTCCACATAGCAAAATGTTGGCTAAAGTAGCAAAATGCTCCCTAAATATGGTAAAAGTAACAGCACGTTAGCTGAAAGATAAACAGAACAACATGCTTGCCTAAAAACTAACAAAACTCTAGCTAAAAAGTAAAAATAGTGAAAGTCCAGCTAGATAAACAAATTTCTAGGTATAGCCTAACTAGCAAAACTCTAAAAGGCAAAAGTAACAAAACTCTAGATAATGAAGGAAAAAAAGCTATGTAAAAGGTTAAAAGTGCTAAAAAAAAGTAAAATAAGCAAATTACCTAAATGCTAAAAGTAACAAAATGCAAAACTCAAGATTTCAGACAACACTGCTTTTGAGAAGATTGAAGAGATATTAACTTTTGGTTGAAAACTACAAACACCAAAAGCTCGAGCTTAAATATCCTGAATGAGGTGAACAATTTTGTCATTTGAATGGTTGTAACAACACCAATGATAAAACACGWACAAAAAGAATGTAGAGAAACAGGATCACTACAGCAATCAAATAACAAAGCAAAAGAGTGAATACAGCCTGAAGTGAATCAGCAGATCTRTAAAAACGACTGAACTACCACCGTCCTGCTGGCTCCACTCCCATGGAAGCTGGACGAGCAACATCCAGCATCCAGCTGTCCGTTTCAGAGGAGGCAACAATCAAATATGGACGGTTTTAGTAGAAGTAGAACGTGAACTCAGAGATGAACAGAGGGTGCCATTGCCTAACATGATTTTCCTCACAGCTGCAGGTGTGTGTGTGTGTGTGTGTGTGTGTGTGTGTGTGTGTGTGTGTGTGTGTGTGTGTGNGTGTGTGTGTGTGTGTGTGTGTGTGTGTGTGTGTGTGTGTGTACGGGGGTTGGGATGGATCAGCACCTCACTCTTCCCCAAGCACTTCAAAGGAATCTGTCAAAAATAATTTGCATAAACTCCCAATTTCTGACTCAATGCTTGGAGTCATATTTTCCCAGCTTTATAAAYCTGCACAGCCACGAAATAAGGACCTAAATGACAATTAGCTTCTTAATATTTTATATGATTTCTACAYCCAATATACAATTAGTGGCTTCATTATTACACATTACCATCTGTTTATGTATTTGTTTGTTAGCAAAACATCTCACAAATAAAGACAAATTTAATAAAATTCTCAAAATACATTGGATGTTCCTCTATAGCTCATCAACATTTAGAGTCAGCACATCTATAGTGACCTAATATCCCAAACACATACTCTGAGCAATAACTGTTGGAGCAAAGATTTATTTTTGAGACTTTGACATTAACCTTCTCAACTCTGTCTGCTTGTTAGCAAAATATCTCATAAATCACTAAATGGATCTTTATGAATCTGTCAGAAAGTAATCATTGGGTGTCTCTCTTCGACTTCTTATCCTTTAGTGTCAGCCCAATTAAAGATGGCTGCCACAGCCAATCGACCTTACCCAACACAAAAATGTGCGTAACTCAGACAATTTTACAGACGAGCCCAAATTTGGTGTGGTAGTAATGGAGAGTCGCCTTAAATGCACATTTCAACAGATCATGCAGATCTCTACGAGATCGTACATTTAAAAAGGCAGCCAGAGCTCAGTCTTTTCACATCCCAGGATGATCTAAGACCAAAAGTGAATCTAGGACTTCAGATTTGTTTATGCTATGATCAGAGCTCATGTGAGAAATACAGCAGTTTAGGAGCTTCTGATCATTTTTCATCGTTTTATTTTTATATCCAAATTGCTCAAAACAAACAATTGTTTTCATGTTTATGAGGTTTATGAGTGATCCTATGGGGAATTTGGGGGGGGGGGGGGGCACCAAATTTTAGGGGTGGCCATTACCCCTTCTGGCCCACCTTTTAGTTGCACCTCTGAATGCTAGGCCTTTTTAATTTGATCGTGTTTCCTCCATCTGTCCTTTCTGTCAATGTCTTACTGAACTGCAGAAAAGACAAAGAACAAAAATGAAAGAAAGAAACGTGGTAAGATGTTTTGTTGTTGCCCACGAGCTGCAGTCGGACATCATGAAACCGCGCCCTCCACAACTCATTCTCACACACGCACACACACACACACCTCCAGTTTACCTTGAATTAACAACACGCGCACGCACACACAGCAGCCACACCTCCCTCTCCTCACCGGCCCTGTGGTGCCTCCGTCCCCTCACTCAGGATCATGGACAGCGGCGTGTCTCCGCGGCTCGGGACGGCTCATCACCTCACAGCTCTAGGACCCTCCGGCCCCTCCTTTAAAAAAAAACAACAACAAAAAACTAAAAAACCCTCAAAACAGCAGCGGACCCGCGGAGAAGACTGTCTGTGACGCGACGTATAGCTTGAATGAACTGCACTTCTTGTTTGTGGAGGAAACCCCGGCAGATGAAAACAGGTCCTCCTCCTCCTGTCTGCAGCGTCGCTCCCCTCCTCACACCCAGTCCTTCCGCTCACACCGCGGACAGCATCAATGATGTCATCCACAGACCTGCCGAGATGCCCGGATTGTCTTAAAGGCTCAGCTCGCTCTGGAGGCATGAATGAAAACTACCAGCCCTCTTTTAAAACTCACAAAACCTACACTTATCTTTGCTTTCACCGAATGTGTATATATA